CTGTTAGTAGTGCAAACTTTAACATCCCTGGACTCCTCTGAGCAATATGTTGGTAAGGACAGTGTTGTTGTGGGCAATGGGACATCTTTAGCCATAACCCGCATTGGCACCTCTCATCCCTTTCCTGGTTTGGCTTTGTTTGATGTGTTAGTTGTTCCTCATCTCACCAAAAATCTTTTATCCATTAGCAAGTTAACTTCTGATTTTCCCTTTCAAGTTATCTTCACTGAATCTTCTTTTGTTATTCAGAATCGAACAAGAAGAAAGGTGGTGGCAATCTGAAAACGTGATGGAGGTCTCTACGTACTGGAGCGTGGCAATCTTGCTTTTATTTATGTTTTAAATAAATCTGCCCTTAAGGCGTTGTATGACTTATGGCATGCACGTCTTGAGCTTGTAAACCCTTCTATTATTTCTTTATTGAATAAAAAAGGCTAGCTTTATCTTATATTTATATTGCATAATCCTTCTCTTTGTTCTACGTGTCAACTTGAAAAGAGCCACAAGCTCCCTTTTTCCACAAATGATACTCACTCTAAAGTTATTTTAGGCCTTATTCACTGTGGTATCTGGGGTCCCGCCCCCGTAAAATCAATAATTTGCTTTTCTTATTATGTTGTTTTTATTGATGACCATTCTCGTTTTACTTAGCTTTATCCTACGAAGTTGAAGTCTGATTTTTTTTGAAATCTTTCTTCAATTTCAAAAATTGTGGAAAATCAATTCTCTTGTAAAATTAAAATTTTTCAGAGTGACGATGGTGCTAAATTTCGTAGTCTATGTATTCAGTCTCATCTTCACTCACTAGGATCCATCACCAAATGTCATGCCCCTACACACCGTCTCAAAATGGTCGTGTTGAGCGTAAGCACCGTCACGTAACTGAGATGGGTCTTGCTCTCCTATTTCATTCGCGCGTCCCCACCTCTTATTGGGTTGATGCTTTCAATACTGCTACATACATCATTAACCGGTTGCCTACACCGCTTCTTGGAGGTACTCCCTTTGAACTCTTGCATGGTAAGGCTCCTCATTACATAGATTTTCATCCCTTTGGTTGTCGGGTCTTTCCTTGCTTACGTGACTATGCTCCCCATAAATTTTCCCCCCGTAGCATTCCTTGTATTTTTTTGGGGAATACTCCCTCATGTAAAGGTTTTCGTTACTTAGATCCCACGTCCACAAAAATTTATATTACTCACCATGGCCGATTTGATGAAGTGGAAATTACATCTCACCCTAT